GTCCGAGGTGTACAAGTGCCGGAATTGTGGAACTGTAATGGATCGAGATGAAAATGGCGCTCGGGGAATCTTTCTCCCCGGGCATTGCTTGATGGAGCCTTGATTCTCTCCGGAGAAATAATAGTAGTAGTAATGCCTACTATTGATATGTTACAATCCATCCGCCAAATTGATTATTATGAAGAAAACGCACGCTGATAAGAACAGGGGATTAGACAATTGAAATTCAAATGACCCCAAGTTTTATGAGAACAACACTACCCTCTGCTGCGTCGCTGGTATCAGATGCAAAAGCATTTCCATAATTCCCAATTTAAACAAAATGCAGATCACGTTTTTTATAGATGTCGGACAATTTTCTGCCTCGCACACAGATTCTCACTCTACGGAAAAGCAGTTACTTTAGTATATATTATACACCTTTGCCCTGGTGCTCGTTCTCAACTTAGTGAAACGGCTACCTTAGCCTTTGAGGTTACTACTCAGAGCACGCTAGACATGATACAATGGCGACCACTGATAATGCTCGCTGCTGGAATAGCATTTATGCTAATTACTGCTTTATCGCAAGACCCACAGAATAAAAGCCCGAAAATGATTAAATGTACACAAGAAATTATATTTACTAATAGTGCACCCGATGGAATATTTCTAGTCGTCTTAGACGATTGGGTGTATTTAACTGCAATATGGAAGGAGCACGAAGAGGCAGGGACTGGAGAGATCAAAGGTTGTTACAACTTGATTCGCGTTGTTGTGTCGATGTAGGCACAATTTCATTCATACTCTTTCTATATCTTTAGGTCTCATTAAACAATATAGAAGACCCCTTCAGTCTGTTATATCGCTGAGACATCCTTCTGCAAACGCAAGCAAGTGTCTGATTTCATGACTAGAAAAACGCGTTGTTTTCTTGATAGCGTATTAACATTGATTGTCATAATTCTTCCAGCATGGCAATTAATTTATGTCCATCAATTGAAAGGACCGATTGCCCACTTATCGAAATATTGTTATGCCAATGTGACTATTCATTCAGCAGCTGCGAATGTTGCAGAATATGATTCCATAGCAATGCTGTATTATACACAAGAAGACGAGGAGTTGAGATATACAGTGAGATTATATCGTATTGGAATATTTAGGGAAGCCGATCAAGCTACAGTTGGTAGGTCTTCATGACTGCTAAACATTAAAAGTAAGGCTTGGCTAGTACTGATGCCGCTTATGATATATCTTTGCAGGTGGATGTAAAAGCCATACAAATAGTCCATGTCAAAGTACTCCATCATTTCGATTCCAAGACATTACTCTACCAGGGACAATGCCAATTAAAGCATTTTACGTGGACAACAGTATGATACTTTATTCAAGGCAAGTGATATTGTCAGTTCGACGGCGAACGATTATGATTATAGTAAAAGAACATTGTGAAATTGTTATTTTTATTAGGCATTTTGATAAATACAAGTTTCGGATGATAAAAATGCCAAAAGACATACTGAACGACGATGAGAATCGCGTCGTAATGATAGAGTCGAGTGAGCCCGGAGTATTACAAAGTTAGTATTATATTATTCTGCAGTTCCTCCGATACAGACCCTTGTTTTAACTGATTTCTTAGGACTCAGTCAGATGGATTTGATGAATAAGACAACAACCACACTGAGAACGTTGCACATATCTACGTAAGCGAATTATTATACTATTTAATAGTCATGTTGGTAGATACCAGAAATCATGACATGGATTCATCACGCTGGTTCTCCGATTTTGATAAACCAAGCCCAGGTGCCATTCGTGTACTGTACGCAGAGGCTACTGGGAACGAAAGAGCGTGGAGCTACTCAGTGGTTACATATGACAATGCATCATTTACTGGTAATAAATGGCGACGAAAATTAATAATATACGTAAGTGATCACTATTCATCTTCCAATACCTGGGTAAGTTACTCTCTAATATTTGGTTTTTATAGGAAGATCACCAAAGAAGTGAAGAAATCGATGACATGGACATTCATACGCAAGTTACACATTTAGAAAGACCTATGCTGCAGCCCATAGTTGGTACGTTGAAGTAATCGCTAATTTGGAAATAATTGACAGCAGACATAACTAAATACTAGATAATTAATTAGCGACGGCGCAGAACGCAACTACTATCGCGATCCCATTAAGTGACAGCCTCAAAAGTTACGATTTTATACTACATCTTAAGCCAGAACAGTACAAGGTACGTGAGATTCGTATCTCACTTCACGGAGACCGGAATCCATTTTTTATTGGTGCAGAAATCAACGCGGCTGCTAACCAAATGGCTCTTGTCACAAAGGTTAGATTAATTATTGATTTAAATTTTTTTGTTGTCGCACATATGATGGGATTTTATCCCGACTCTTTTCAAGGCAAAATCGTATTGTAGTTTGTAAAACTTACTTTCAACTGTTGTCATTATACACTGGTTTGCAGGATAATTATATTCTGATTTTCAAGCGCGGAATAGCTGAAGTCGGGTCAGGATCCCCTCAGAACCGACAACCAGTAAACCCATCCAAAGTAGAATCTGAAGAACATGTCAAGAATGCGTCGGATGGAGGTGAAGCATGGCATAAGAGAATGACTCTGAAAGTTACGTTTCCATCATATGAAGAGTTTGACAACTTGTACGGTGGGGTAAGCGATTGATGTATATATATTACACTGACATTATTCGTACATTAGGTCAATTTTTTTTAATGACTTTGTTTATATAGGATGTCATAGCCGTTAAATTATTCAATAATTCATCATATGCAGACGTTGAGGAAGGCACAACAGGAAACTTTTTGTGTAAGTAATGACTTGGTTAATATTTATATCTGTTTACGCTTATTAATGATTTTGACTCTTGTAGTTGTTATATACGGATACGGTATACTTGTATCCTTTGACTTGGGAATACCATATCAAGAAAGTTTCATATGGTATTTTGTGATAGAGAAATGGCAAATGTGTATTAGTAAGTATCCTTGTCGTTTGTGTAGTGATTCTTTTAACGTCTATTCGCTGATGCTTATTCTATTATAAAGCAATGCTGTCTGTAGTTTTGCTGTTTTCTTGGCATGAAATGCACTAGCGAATTTGGAGGATTACAACCAATGGGTCTAGTTTATTTATAGAGAGACGTATAATCGCCGTCCAGCTCTGGCCCTAAAACGTCCTTTTGGATAACGTTTCTTGATAATGTACTAAATTGTACTAAACCCAAGTAAAGGGTCGTAGGTTATGCCGCAGCTACGCTTCCTATACGCAGTCAAAATAATTATTGAAAGTTGATTGCATGCATTAATGTAGATTTTCCGTTTCTATAGAAGTTTGGCGACTTTTTCTTTTTAATCTGTTTGATACAGTTAATAATAACAATCACTCAACGATAATTCAAAGAGTATCATTGTGTTTTTACTTGGAAAATGTAAATACAGACACCTAGACGTAGAAGAGTTTCATTTACTACTTTTTAAATACATAATTGACTGTTTTACCGCCACGAACATGGATGATCCGAGTGACTTTGGAAATATCATTCTTCTCATATAAATATAATTTGCCTCCTGGAGATGATTGGATAATAGATTCTATTGTTGTTGGCGAGGAAATAGCTGATGAGGGTATATTGACAGTAAACCGAGTCTTCCCATTTATCTGTAACGTAAAAGAACAATGACGCGTTCATTCTTGTATCATATAATTATATATTGAATATCCGTTTTGACTTTTTCTGACCTGCACACTGCAAACGACTTCATCTACAGCCAATGCATTTTCATCAAATTCATCCCACGTTTCATCAAATACACTGTTTCCTGTACAATCCAGTTTTTCCCAACATTCTTCGCCAAAACTAGGTGCCATTGGGGATAGCATTTTCACAAGTGAGCGTACAGCGTAGTGATAAACAGGAGAAAGTTTCCTGTCTGTGCCTAGTGCCAATTTAGCTGATACAAGCTGGTTTGTGAGTTTTATTAGATCTGAAATAGTTGTATTGAACGAATAAGTGGCATCATATGATGTTGTAACCTGAATTAAGGAAATGAAGAGCCGTCCAGGTTATTTGAGGTTCGTAATGACAAAATGTAAACGCAATTCTCGATTACTGGAAATCGGTTGATTTACCTCTTTCAAGGTTGCATTAACGACCCTATACATATTTCTCTCTTCCATGTTCATCTTCTCGATGTCCCACTTTTTTAATTCTTTCACGTTCGTGTCATTTGACTCGACAACGTTGCAAACAGTCCGCCATACTCTATTCAGCCATCTCTGTATTCCAACTATGCTTATATCTTCCCATTCTAAAACTTCAGACACTGGCGCCTTGTATAAAATATGCAATCGAGTAGAATCGGCACCATGTTTGGAAATAATTTCATTCGGGTTGATTCCATTGTATTTGCTTTTGGACATTTTCTCATACGTTATGAGAGGTTGTGCGGATGTGGCAAGTATTCTTGGATTGGAAGGGTCTATCACGATAAGAAATTAAGAGATATTAATACAATCGATCGTTAATAAAAGTGAGTGCAAATAAGACATATAACCTGATAAATCGATTTCTTCGTGCTTCAGATATTGTAACGTTTGCGGATCTTTAAACGTCCGTCCATGCACCATTCCCTGATATGTAGATTTGAATTTCAAAATTCATAATACTCTTTCTTATACCGTGTCTCTGATGGCAAATAATTGAAGTACACTCACTTGAGTAATCAAAACTTTGAATGGTTCACCATTTCCTGGTAATGTTTCCTTATCAGACTCGTACATTCCACAATCGTACAAAAATTTTGCAAAGTAACGCGCATAAAGTAAGTGCATTACCGCATGCTCTACACCACCTATATAGACATCAACAGGGAGGAGCTTGGAAGCCAATTCTGGTGCAAATGGTCTGCAACATGTAGCATAAAGAAAGGCTGTCAGCCGTCACGTTGCAAATGATGCTTTACGATAACGCCAATCAAACTTACATACAGGTTGTTATTCTTTGCATCGATGTAACGAAGGAAATACCACGAAGAGTCAACAAAGGTATCCATTGTATCAACTTCACGTTTTCCTGGACCGTGGCATCTAGTTGTAAACGTAATGTTTGAATGTGAACATCAATATATATTTAATCAAGTTCACTATTGATCGCTTACTCTGGACATTTGCACTCAACCCAGTGATTTATCTGACTTAATGGCGAGCCCCCTCGACCTGTGAAACTGACATCTGTGGGTAACAATACGGGTAGATCTTTTTCTGGAACTGGGACAGCCTTTTTATACACTTGGAAATTAGTAAGAAATCAAATCAAAGAAAATAATGCCTAAAGGTAATTGCAACAGCTCTAGACGCAAATTTGCTTATTGTGCGGCTACCAGGACCAAATATTTGTAAAAACACATACCCCACAGTCAGGACAATGTATTATAGGTATCGGGGTGCCCCAGTAACGTTGCCGCGAAAGAAGCCAATCTCGTAAACGATACTGTCGAAATCAATGATGTATTTAGTAATCCATATATTAGAAATATAGCCAAGTAATCTATTAAGCATACAAGTAAAAATAAATACTTGAACTCTCCGACGTCCAAATCCACGTTTCTCGGCATCCAAAACAATGGCCTTCATGGCATCTTCGCTCTTCATGCCAGCATACGGGCCAGAACTTTCCGTGAGAATACCAAGTTCAGTAAATACTTTCGACTCATTTTCAGTGACCACTAAGTTGACAAGCAACGCCACGCGTTATACCGACAGTCTTCATCAACACACGCTATAGAAACAGGCACAACTTTTTGGATAACACCTTTTTACCATACCCTTGACGACAGGACTAACAACCTTTTTGATTTCGTTTCCATTCACAATCCCATTCCATTTTACAAAATCAAAATCTCTTTCATCATGTGCAGGAACGCCCATAACTGCTCCAGTACCATAATCCGATACAACATAAGAAGACAAGTATATGGGAATCTGTTCATTGGTAAAGGGATGTGTTGCGCAGAGTCCTGTATATGTTCCTAAGATGTATATAAATCAGGATTTGAAGAATAAATATAAAGCTAAAAATGACGGACGTGATAAATAAACGCACAGTTACCTAATTTGGTCTTTCCTACGTTGCTATCACTTACTGATTGCTGCTCTTGCTTTATTTTCTCTGCAAGTGTAAGAACTGTGGAATGTAGCTCTTTTGGAATATAACTACGAATTATTATTATTATTTTTATGATACATATACCCTTAACACGAAGTATGCCAACAAATTCGCAATTATTACTTACTGTTCTGAAATCAATGGATGGTCTGCTGATACAGCCAAATATTGTACACCATATATTGTGTCCGGTCTGCTTGTGAATACTTTAATGTTGGAAATATTTTCCTGATGAGAGCTCTACATATAAAAAAAGTCTTAGAAATTTTGGGAACAAAAAATTTTTCAGTAATATCTATACATACGACTAAGAATTCAAATTCAGCTCCTTCGGATCTTCCAATCCAATTTGCTTGCATCTGTTTTACACGATCAGGCCAATTTTTTAATAAATCCAAGTCTTTTAAAAGCGACTTTACAAAAAGTTAAGTTAATAAATAAAATCCAATAAAGATCAAGACATCCGATATTTCATCTGAAATTTACCTCAGTATACTTGGTAATTCTAAAAAACCATTGCTTAAGCTTACGACGTTCTACTTTTGCTCCTGAGCGCCATGACAGACCCTCTGGGCTGACCTTGAATCATAGAAATTTGTAAGGTCATAAATGTAAGTCATTCATATAATCAAAGAAGGATGTTCTAGTATATAATTAAAACATAGGCCTCAAATCTATATTCATCACATTTTCTAAAATGGCAGTTTCCATAAGATAATTGATCCTAGACACGGAGCTGCTTACTGATGGAATGATGACGAACTGTTATCTAACAGTTCTGACTTAAATCAGATCGAAAATCTCTAACATACTGTTAAACAAACATAGAAAGAAAGAGGTTAAAGACTTGAACACGGTCAGTAAAGAAGTGGAAGAAGCCACAGACACGACTGGCCAAAAGTCCCCCGTTGCAAATTCAATTCATCTAAACCAATAAACGCAACTCGCCTCCAAAATGTACAAGATCTCACAGCTTTACGTGAGCCCGTATATGCTAAAATCGTCGTGTTTGGAAATAATGACTACTTTTTTGATACAGTATATCAATTAAACAAAATTTACCTGCTCGTTTGCGAGAACTGTTTGATCCACTGGATCCCAATTTACAAAGGCTTCTTTTTGGTAAGCTAGGCCGGCTTTGTGAAATTGTAAAAAAAGATATTGTGTCCATTTATAATAGTCAGGATCACAGGTAGTTATCTCCTATTATGAGCAATTGTTAAGATTCCCTTCGAAGTTGCCTCAATCGTTCGCGTTATTTCACATAAATGTTACCCTATCCCAATCAAAATCGACAAGAAGCCTTTTCATCTGTTCTTTCATACTCTGAATATTTTTCTTGGTCCACTCGGCAGGTGGTATTCCGCGTTCAATAGCAGCGTTTTCAGCAGGTAATCCAAATGCATCCCAGCCCATTGGATGAATTACATCGTATCCTCGCATTCTTTTATATCTCGCAATAGTGTCACTAATGGTGTAGACCCTCACATGACCCATGTGTAAGTTTCCACTAGGGTATGGAAACATTGATAACACATAAAATTTGGGTTTCGATTTGGATGGTGTGGCTACTTGAGGCTTGTTTTGCCAATTTAGAGACCATTTCTGTTCAATAAAAGAGAAATTGGGAACTTTTGCTAGAGTTGAATAAAAAAGGTTTGAACGGAAACCCTTTTGTCGGAAGAGAAATTTAGAAAACATTATTACTATTATGACTCTTCAGAGTTGATTATTTTGCATATGGATAGACACGTGACTTCTGTAAAATCGATTAAATTTGTTTATTTTTCATGAAACGTTTCTTTTGCATATTTATTTTCGCGTATTTATTTTCGCGTATTTGGTTCGGGGAAGTAGTAAAGATGGTATACAACAGTAATAGTAAGTCAAAAGCTACCCAGGTTCGCGAGTATTGGTACGTTGCCTATATCTCGTCGAGGAAAACATCAGAATAATTGACGATGATGATACAGCAGAAAGATGTCATACATGGATTCGCGCGAACGGAAGCCATACCGCACCGAATCAATTCAAAGAATTTGTTCAAAGGGTATAGTCTCTAGGCTATAAAAAAGCCTTGGCTTTAACCACGCCAATGCTCACAGAGGTTCATAAGCAAAATCGTGTCGAATGGGCCAAGCATCACCTTTTGCCTGGGGTGGTTTTTCCATAAGAGGAAAATATTTGCTTCCAGCGTATAATGGATGGCAAATTTTACGTTAATATTCTTGAAGTAAGATGCAAGACGATTACTGTATCTAGCCCTAGCAAGGGTTATAACAGACTTAAAAGCAGCGACAATAAAATATACCTCGAATTAAATAAAACCAAGAGAGAAGTCTTATTTGGGGATTCGTATATTTCTTGGTCCGAAAAAACACAGAGCTGATACAGAAACATTCGAACTACAAGAAAACACAAATCCAGGAACTCCTCTCACGATCCCCTTTACTATCTCATCTCAATACATCCTCCCCACTCGTCTGGGTATTTGACACCACGCAGTCGATAGTACGGCATGCCAAAATACCAGAGTAGAAATATTTGGTGATAGGAATAACGGCCATGCACCACCAGGCTCGGAGCTTGAAGTGAGGTATACAATACAAGATCGACCTATACGTGTAAGTAAGAAACAAACGATTTCATTTGAAGTGTAGAATTTAGTCTTAATATTAACTGATCTTGTAATTTACAGATTATCTTCGCCTGCCACGGATATGAATGTTGTGTTGTGCCAATATGTCTAATTTTCAGTTGATACACCGGTCCAACTGCAATTGTTTAGAATATGTATTTATATTTATATAGATTTTGATTTTATTTATTATGTATATGCTTAAGCGCCTTTTTAGTGCAAGAGCACCTTTAGCGTTCAATCGTAGATGCAACTAATAAAGGAACGCAAAAAAAAAACTCCAACTGCAATTGTTATTTTTTCCTTTTGGCATGCTTTATTTCCAGAATTTGTCGATGCCCACGTTCTTGTTTCGATGGTTCTACAAGACAAATTTGTTACTATCTCGTCCTCACTGGGAAAGCAGATAACGACAGGCTCTTAAGAAAGAAAGCCACTGGCAATGCTGACCATAATTGCTATAGTCATTATTCTCTCTTTGTGTTTATAATAAGAACGAAGGAGAGGTATGATGTGTTTAACGCGTCACCAAGGCAGAATTTGATTGGTGGATATCTTTAATTAATACCATTGTGGCATGAACTTTTTTTGCGATCATCGAGTTTAGCCAGCTTGCAGAATCTTTGATACAAACCTACCCATACTGCTGTGCGACAGTTCTCGACCAATTTTGTAAGTTCAAGTTCAACGAATCTTACCCTAGCGGCAACTTTCTGCCTTCTTTATTGATTAAGCAACAGAGATAACTTCATGCACTCATCATTACTGTTATAAAATAGCATTGACATTCTCTCCGATCGATCCGTACTGCACTCCAAAAATAGACATGATATTACGTAAATTCCCATGTCATTTCATTAAATATTGCAGCTTTGTAACACCGACGAGCTTTTTTATCAAATTTATAAAGGTACGAACGACGAAGAAAAGTTTACTGATTGAAAAATATATATAATTTGATCATACGTTTTGCACACCGCATAGTTATCACAGACAAGTTCAATGATCAAAACTATCCATCAATGTCGTCCTCCAAAGTTAACCATACCTCACAATCAATTCTCAACCCTAAAACGACAGTATACGAATTCCTTGGTCCAATTGGGGCTTTTCTCATGATCACTGTTCTTCCTATCCTGGTTTATGTTCTGAATGTTAGCTGTACATTTGATGGATGTCCTCCATATTACTATGTTGAACCATACATCAAGTTCCCATTAAGTTTCTTGTATCATTTTTCTCCCTGGTATCTCGTGTCCTTATTCGATGCAGCAGCTTTTGTTGTATACATGTGTTTTCTCATTTATCTGTACTTGACGTGGCTTTACATACCTGGGGAGTGGATTGAAGGAACAGTTCTTCGTAATGGAAAGAGACTAAAATACAAGCAGAATGGATTTGATACTCTACTGCTCACATTGTTCATTATTGCCGCTACGTTAATAGTGATAGGAACCGGACCGTTTTTATTCGTCTTTGATCATTACATTGGGCTTATAACAGCTTCGGTAGTAGTGTCATTTGCCGCTTCAATATATGTATATTTAGATTCCTTCAAAGGAGAGAAACTGTTAGCATTGGGGGGCAATACTGGAAACGCTATTTACGATGTAAGCTATGGGCTGTTCGAATTCTTCTTGTGAATCGTAAATATACTTATATTAATACGTTAAACAGTTTATGATAGGGCGAGAGTTGAACCCTCGCATTGGTGACTTTGACATCAAGTATTTAGTAGAATTAAGACCAGGCCTTATTGGATGGATGATTATTGATATTTCCATGGCTATATGTCAATACGTTGAACTTGGTGAAATCACTTTCGCATTGTTTCTCGTTGTCGTCTTCCAAATCTGGTATGTTGTCGATGCTTTGTATATGGAGGTAACTATGCACTTTTATTAGTCAGCCATCAAGTGTTTGCATTAAATGTTCCATTCACATAATTTTATTTATATGACAAATTATACAAGTCATCTGTACTTACAACAAATGATATGACAACCGATGGATTTGGGTGGATGCTTTGCTTTGGAAATTTGACCTGGCTGCCGTTTACTTATAGCATCCAAGCAAGATACCTTGTTCTGTCACCCATTGGATTAAGTTGGTTTAGTATATTCATCATCTTGATCCTGAAATTTGTTGGATACATGATATTCAGGGGAGCAAACACTGAGAAGAATGTTTTCAGGAATGATCCAGATGATCCTCAAGTTAGACGTATGTTGATAAATTATTTATTCTAATGCAAAATTTTAATTGAATTAACACTAACTGACTTTACTACAGACCTAGAGTACATTACTACTGAACAGGGGTCCAGGCTACTGATATCTGGTTGGTGGGGTATAGCAAGACATATCAATTATTTTGGTGATTGGTTGATGGCATGGTCTTGGTGTCTTCCATGCGGTAAACATTTATACATTCTCTGCACAATATAGACCGAATCCTATTATCTTTCCCCTCTAATGAAGTTGCTTTTTGTCTACTTGATTCGATAATCATTAGGTTTTGATGATCTCTTTCCATACTTTTATGTTGTCTATTTTGCTGTGCTGCTAGTACATCGTGAAATTCGCGATGAAACCAAGTGCAAGAATAAGTATAAAAAGGATTGGGATCGATACTGTGAAACCGTCAAGTGGAGAATTATTCCTGGTAAGTGCACATTAATTTGTTCATGCCTGTTGCAAATTTGGCAAACTATGTCTGACAAAATCATTATACAGGTGTCTACTGATATTTTTATTTGAAAGAATTTTCTTGTTTAAATTATTTGTATTATTATGCGACCTGTAAAACAGTCTATTTAAAGATATAATATATACAACAGTACAAATTCAATAATTTATCCAAAACTCTAGTGGAAACGATGAGCGCATAGCTTTCCAATGTTCAAGAGCAGTCGTCAATTGTAATTTATCTAATGGATTATTATCTTCAGTAATGATGCCTGTAACATTAGAAAATTTATCAAGTTGAATAAACCATGACTGAAAGTTATTCAATATGTATTCTCTCATAGTGCTACCGAAGAAATCTGTTTCATTTGCATCTCGAAAACGTATTGGTTTACTTGAAGCAAAGAATACCTTGAGTTTAAGTTTAAATTAATAACGTTTCAAAATATTATTAAGACAAAGCCCGGCTTGCACTCTCACCATATTTGTAAATGTTCCTGCTTCTTGCCATCCCTCATTAACACATTTCACATAGGGAAAAGTAGTCTTGATAGTATTATAAACAAGAGCAAGAGCTTCTGCATAAGGCCAAAGCTGAGATCCTACAAAATTCTGTTGGAAAATCCATTACAATCTTAAATCTATAACTGTTGTAATATTCACTAGGACCCTCTCACATACCAATGCTAAGACGCCATCATCTTTCATAATCCTTTTGATTTGTTCGAGAGCCTTTGTTGAGAATAATGAGGATGGAACTGACCCTCCAGTAAATACGTCATGTAACACATAATCATACTTTCTCGGTGGTGCATTCTCTATGAATCTTCTTCCATCTTGTATATAAATGTTATGTTTCTTTTCAAGTTTGAAATAGTTTATTGCATAGTCGTAAACAATTGGGTCCAGTTCCACTATATCGAGAGTAATGTTTGCGTTCTGTAAAGATGCTGCTGACACTCCAATTCCCAATCCACTGAAAATATAAATCATAATTAGTATATATATATCAAGTTAATTATAAACAGTATCTACCACATACATCTGGAGGGCTGTTGGGTTCCCTTCAAGTGCTCGGTTTTTAACTAGACGTAGAGCTGCAAAAAAAGTCATAATAGTCGGATGTTTAGTATCTGTAATCATGACAAATTGCACGTGATTATAATAACTAACCTTCCATAAAGTAAAATGACCCATATACTGAATCCCAGGATTCTTTATATACACCACCAATAAATGAATGACCGGCACGCATTAGCCGTAACTCCAACCGAGGTGTTTCCCGAAATACATCTACTGTATCTATCCACCCTGTTATGGATTCTTTACGTGCTATAATGCTGTATGTGCTCTTTTCAACTGTAACATCCTATAAACATTGGTTAACGATCAATACAAGTCGTCGTCATGTATAGCATGAGTAATTCGGTTGCAACTTTCTTCTGAATAATGCACTCACTTGAATCAATCCATTGTGACATTGAGGATTAAATCTGACGTTATACAGAGTAAGTAATATGATAAGAACTTGTGGAAACATCTTCAAACCAATATTCTGCATACACGTTTGAGCGCTTAAGTGTATCCTTTTTCTCTGTCCAGAGTCGTCAAGTAATGTAACTTCCCCATATAATGCCAAGAGACTCTTAAATAACCCACCAATTACACCAAGGAGGATTCCCGATAAATACAATCTTTGGCAATTTTTACCCATTGCTGTAACATTATACAAGACATATGTTAGAGTAACTATAGCAATCGTATATATGGCAACGTAAGATATCCATCTTACAGTTGGAATAGTTCTGATCTCTATACTTCTTCTTGCACATACGATGGCATTAACGAATCCTAATAGAAACATTACAGGATAACCCAGAAATGATTGCGTGAATTGAGGACCAATGTATGGTCCCAGTAGCCCACTCTGATTAAAAAGGATTCTCGTCAAAATCGGAGCAGCGGCGAATACAACACCACATCTATCAACGGCAGTTATAACTGCCTCGGCCAATATTCTATTCATTGTTGCTTTCTTCTGTGCTTGCACTGCAAATAGGACACCCAAAACTCCCCCTCCTACTAGACATCCTATTGACATCTCTGGAAAGTATAATGTGGAGAACACGTTCCCATAAATTGGCTCGACATATTTCGGAGCGACTTGAAGAATGGTCGAAGCCAGAATTGGCGTTAATAGCAATAGAGTTGCTCTGGATAACGTCCATAATTGAGTTATCGAAGCGATCTGATCATCAACCTCATGCAATTGTTTTGCTGAAGTAGTTGATTGTTGGGGTATGTTGCGGCGACGACGTGCCATTTTAAGATCGGACTAATTGAAAGATATTTCTGTTTATTTGAAAGTTATTGATGATCGTCACGTGGTTAAATTTAAAGTATTTATAAAAGCAGTTTTGCCTCTTTCCTTGTATTGTAAGAACATGGATGAAACACATCATGCTCCGATGGATACGTCGACAGACTCTCCATCATTGGACAGTATGAAAACAGATTATGATGAGCTGCACTCCATTAATTTACAGACAAGAATTCATGTGCGTGTACAATACAATTATGATCGATCTGTTAATGAAATCATCAATATATATATACGTAGATTTGTTATGTTTAGGCACTTCGACGAATTAACAGACTTATGATGTTTCGAGATGATGAATCGCGAACTGGATTATTACATGTTTTAAACTCGCGATTATTGGTGGAAGAAGATAAAGATGCTAAGGTGAGCCTATTTGTTTAAGTTTGTTTTGCATTATCATTGTCGCTAACAAGAAGTATCCGTTTATTTTCCTAGGCATTGATTGTCATGGCGTTAGAGAAGCTAGCACATTTACCTTCATTCGATGGTTCCAAGATTCTACAAATCTTAATGAATCAGGTACATTTATATATTGACCCTCCGTCTGTACCGCCAATTAATTTGTGATCGGTTTACTGACAATCATATATTCTGTTATCATAGACAGAAACGGATTCGACAAAGTTGAAATGCCAGATTTACGATTGTATATTTAGAATACTTAAAGTAATATTTACCTCTTATGTTATGGCTGTTGTCCGTATTCAACATATATTCTATCCTAATTATTATCTCGTATTTCACAGATCAAACAATTTAATACATACAATTCGCCCGACTTTGCTAGACTCTTACAGACACTATCGAAGCTCGTTATAAAAGAACTCTCCGATTCTCATCATCGCATCCGATCCATTTGCATTCAATTACTGACTTCACTACCATCGCTCATCAGTCGTACCAAATCAATACACGAACAGTCTGGTCAAAAAGTACCCCATTATCTGTCTGAACAGGAAATACAAACAATTATCCGTAATTATGGTACTGATGTTGATCCAAGAGTTAGAAGGGTAATTGTATATATGATATTTACAAAATTTAAAAGTGCACGCACGGTGAAGGAAGTGTTTCCTGTACTTACTGCCTACGTTTTTTTTAGACGGCTCTCAAATCTTTGCTTCGTTTACATCAGCGTGGTTGTAAGTTAGAGTTATCTTTGTATGATCTATGCAAAGAAAGTCTCAAAGATGATTACGAAGAAGTGAGAATTGAGGCGCTGAATTTGATATGGTTTGTCTTAATCTGACTAGGAACATTTTCGAGGATGAGTTCAAGTAGTAACAATGCTGATATTCATATAATACAGGGTGTTGAGCAGCCTCTATCCCGACAGTTCGGTAAAACCGTTCCTCGACAATTCTCTTGACAAAAGTGTTAGACTTGTTGACGACGCATTTGTTAGAATATGTGATATTATTAGTGATGTCTCCGTCAACGTTCGTAGCAAGGTAAATTCTCATCTTATATGCCCATAATAAGCGTACGCTCCATTCATTTGTTGATAGTTATTAATAATTTGGTTGTGCGTAATTCACTAAAGGCCTCCACTTTACTTGGAAGCTATAGACAAGCAGAGGATTCTATTTTGCTGCAGACGTTTAGTAAAGAAAAAATGACAAATTTTGGAAGGCAAAAGGGTCGTTATATGGATGATGTTAAGACAGTAAAGATTAAATCAAAAGATATTCCTACTCCTGAAGGCGATTTTGATGTTCAAGATGAGTTTCGTTTGCTGGATTCGGGAGCATGTGGAGCTTTCGTTCATGGATTGGAGGATGAATATCAAGACGTTAGATATGCCACCATTGGTATCTATTTATCATTTCCTATTAATTCTCTGTGAACATTATTAGCAAAGTCAATTGTACTTCAACCTTTAATGTCATTCTATAGATTCTATATGTGAACTATGCATGCATAACTCAACATTTGCTGAGAAGGCAGTTGATTTTCTTGTGGGTAAGAAACATTCCGTGGACAAAAATTATATGCGAACGCGTAACAATCTCAATAATTATCTCAATATAATTTGGTAGATATGTTTCACGATGAAATAGATTCTGTTAGATTGAATGCGATCAATAGTCTTCGAAAGATATCGACCAACACAGAGATAGTCTTTAACAGAGAGCAATTGACTATTGCTCTGAGTGTACTTGATGACGCAGATCCAACAGTGCGCGAATCAACTCACGGATTGTTGCGAGCTGTGAGATTGGCTGAACGAGATATGGTAATGAAACTTATCGAAATAATGAAGAATAATGTGACAAGATATCCGGAAGATCAGTTATCTATATACCAATGTTTTCGTGATTTCGGTGCAAAGCATAATGATTTTATTGGTAAGTAGTATCTGTGGGCAGCCTGGTGAGCCAATATTTAATATCAACATATCACTGTGTGGGGCATTATTCTTTATGTGGCTAATACTTGATTGACGTTTTAGAATACTTGGTACCGGTGTTCTTCACGTTGGAACAAGGGTTTAAGCCAGTGGAGAAACATGTGGACGATCCAAAGCGTATCCTAAACGATGTTATTTATTGGATAATTCCTGTGATTCATAACATTCCATAACTATCTCTACAGATATTGGACACGTTATTATGACATTCAACGCTGCTCATTCTAATTCCAAGATACTCGAAATTATACCAGATTATTTGTGGAGGCATTATACTTACCTGAGAGATAAATTCCCAAGTTGCTTTCTTGAAATACAGGTAAGCGGTGTTGAGCAGCCTCGTATTTGTATTGGGTATCTGAAATGCGTGACTAACACCAGTAATTAACGCAATTTTATTACCAACAAAGATGCCTTCAAATTTGTCAAAGCCAGCGAAGCAAAAGGGTGTCGATTCTTATGGTAAACCTTTACATAATCACCATAATTTTCGTTCCACTTCTGTTCCAACTGACATTATCAAATTATTGTGTCCTGCATGATAGAGGATGGACAAAATGTTCAGAATTTTATGGAAGAAACCTTGACAATTATAAATAATTTAGAATCGCTATTCAAGGGCGACTTGGACACTGCTAAACGAAATGCGAGAGTTTGCCTGAGGTAATAGCGCTCGTATTCAGACATAAGTGATATCAAATAATGTAATAACATTAATTATACATATGATCTCTCGTTTATGCAGAGACCTCAAGTATATAGCACACGTGGCTCCATTGCTTTCAGGAAAAGCCGAATTTGCGATTATGTACCTCGAATGTGTAAAGATAATCATCGAGGTAATATAACACATCTTCTAATTGAAGTCTGCTTGTTGCTTGGCTACACATAGACATTGACCAGGAATATGCTTTCACATTCTTACTTTTTAATCAATTATGTGGCATGAAAAAGATTAAACAAAATTATTTGCAGCCCAGTTTCATAGTAGTAGCCTCAAACCTAG